CAGTTGATGTGATCTGTGTCTCTCCCCTCGGCTGATTTCTTAGATTATACATTCTTGAGGCCCAAGACCTGCTTCCCTTGATTTAAAGCACCACCTACATTGACTGTGCTATGAACACTGGTTTGCTTGTTGTTGTGTACTAGTTATTGTAAAATAACGATAAGTAGGAGGTCTCCCCTGTTCTTGTTCATCACCTAGGAAACGATGTATGCGAGCAGTTCTGAAGCTGTTATCTGGGATTTAGGAGGGAGGCAAGTAGTGACGACCCACCCAGGTTTCCTGGAATGCCCTCTAAGTCAGTCTGTTTCTTTCTTTCCCCATAGGCAAGTATCAATTGAGGAAGGGGAGAGAAAAGCCAAAGAACTGAATGTTATGTTTATTGAAACTAGTGCAAAGGCAGGATACAATGTCAAACAGGTAAGTGTTAAGGAGGCATGGTCCTGGACGAGAACACACAGTCTAACAACCATTTTTAAATCAAATTTCCAGCTTTGTACGGATCGGTTACCTATATCCCAGTGTGTTGAAAGACTCTTAGATGCTGGTATTTCACATATGAGACTGGCAGCAATCATGGGAGGTTATGTGTTTTGTAGCCCTTAGGGTGACTCTCAGTACAGTAAGTTGTGACACATGACCTGTGGCTTTTCCAGTCTTAAGGAGAGGGCATCCCGTTGCCACGCCACTAATGGAAGTATGCAAACTTGGCTGTGACAGAAAAGAGAGCCTTCTCCATTGCAGTGTTGTGACTTTCAAATCTCCTCTCCAGAGGCATCTTTGACCCTCACTTTATAGATCCGTGGGTCCCCAACCTTGGTCACCCCGGGGTGTTTTGGCTTCCAGCTTTGTACGGATCGGTTACCTATATCCCAGTGTGTTGAAAGACTCTTAGATGCTGGTATTTCACATATGAGACTGGCAGCAATCATGGGAGATTATGTGTTTTGTAGCCCTTAGGGTGACTCTCAGTACAGTAAGTTGTGACACATGACCTGTGTGGCTTTTCCAGTCTTAAGGAGAGGGCATCCCGTTGCCATGCCACTAATGGAAGTATGCAAACTTGGCTGTGACAGAAAAGAGAGCCTTCTCCATTGCAGTGTTGTGACTTTCAAATCTCCTCTCCAGAGGCATCTTTGACCCTCACTTTATAGATCCGTGGTTCCCAACCTTGGGTCACCCAGGTGTTCTTGGACTGCCATTTCCAGAAGCCTTCACCACCAGCTCTGTTGGCCAGGATTTCTGGGAGCTGCAGTCCCAAGAACCATCTGGAGTGACCCAAGGTTGGGAACCACTGATACGGATGCTTCACCTCCTTCCTAAAATCTATGAGGTTAGAGCAGACCCCAATCCATCTGTCCACTATACAAAGACTGACCACTTCTCTTTAGAAAACAGTGCAAGGGAGTCTTGAGATAACCTCAGATGCTGTACTTTGTGATGAGTGTATTTCCATACGGAAGGGTATCAATGGGGCAAAAGTTAGGTAGGCCAAGCTGAGCAAAAGGCTTGGTTATTCCAGTGAGCTTCCAGTTACTCCAGTAATTCTAAATTAGCAATTGCAAAGTTTTCCACCTTTTTGGTCAGTTCAGTTCTGCGTGGGCTTTCTTTTAGTACAGATGCTGCCCTAATTTCTGTGCCCTGAAATAGAATTGTGGCTGCATTTGATATTTTGCGTGTTCATTTTTATTTCCGAGTGTGTTCTGCTGATCTCAACATGGGGGACGAAAATACTGTTGTCCTATGTAGGCTAACAGCAGTCACTGTTATTTATGTAGGTGAGATCTTAGATTTTGAGATCTAAGGATGATGATATTCCCTCTGCCCACTTCATTGAACATGTTTTCCATTTGGCAACTTGCTTCTTTTTCTAGCCATGAAAGCTACAGTTCAGAGTTAGTGCCTGTGTGGGTGAGTTGTAGAATTTTCTTCAGCTCAGATTCCTTCGTTATCAGAGTGCAGAGGAACAATATTTTGATTCAGTAATGTGCTGTCAGGTGATTTCATATTGTAGCACAGAAACTTTGACGATGCTAGTTCACTTCATATTGCAGTATATAGGGTTGTTCTTTACTTTTGTGCAGGAAGAACAAAGGTTTGTGATTCTCTGCCTTATGGAATCATAGCGTTGGAAGGGGCCTGTAAAGCCATCGAGTCCAACCCCCTTGCTCAAGGCAGGAATCCAAATACAAAGCACATCTGACAGAGGGTGGTTTCATTTTCTCTTGAAGGCCTCCAGCGTTGGAGCCTTCACCACCTCCTGAGGTCATGCCGTACTGCTCTAACAGTTAAGAAGCTTTCCCTGATATTCAGCCAAAATCTGACTTCCTGCAGCTTGATCACATTATTATGTGCCTTGCACCCTTGGATGATTGAGAACAGATCCTGCCCCTCCTCTGTATGATGACCTTTCAAGGTTTGAAAAGTGCTGTAATATCTCCCCTGAGCCTTCTTTTCTCTAGGCTAAACGTGCTCAGTTCTTTTTGATGTTACTCCTTTTTGATGTTACTTAAATCTACACACTCTGCCTTTTCTGTACAATGGTTTTAGTACAGTGCTTTGGCAATGAGGTGTGATGCTCACTGAATGGACATCCTTGTGTCTGTGAATCCAGCATCTTTCTGGATGTGTTAGCCGAAATAGGTGAGATGAGAAAGAAGGCCAGGGCGCAGCGTTTGAGGTTTCCCCCTTGAGCGTGGGATCTGGCTCCCCTGGGATCTCCTCTCATGTTCTCACGACTGCCCAAAAGCTTGCTGTGGCAGGCTTTTTTAATGGTTGCATAATGGTAGCTAGTGTGAGCAATCAACACTATTATACTAAATAATATTCAGTGGTACACTGCTGGAGGATGGGACCACACTGTTCTCTTCACTATGCTGGCTTGCCGTCATACGATTTGAAAATCCTTAACCCAGAGAAGAAGAAAAAGAAAGAGAGAGAGAGAGAGAGAGAGAGAGAGAAAGCTGCTGAATAGAAGATGAGGAAAGGCATACTGAAGTGTGAAGGTTTTAAATTCCCCATGTAGCTTCCTGGCTTTTTGTAACATTTCCCTAATTGGATTATTCCTGTATGCTATGACTGGTAAACCCACTTTGACTTGCTTGCCAAATTCCTTCTCCTTAATATTACTGAATTGTACAAAATCTAGCTCAGGGCACGATTTTATTCCCCAGCTTGAAATACAAAAAAGCGATTACCATTTATTAAGCACTAGTTGTTGGGGGCTCGATTTAAATACAGGAATCCAGTTGGTTTCTGTCAAAGGATTTCCATTGCTTAGAAAAATACATCTTTTTTTTAACCTTTATTTTTAAGTGCTGGAAAATACAGTGTGGTGGAGCCCTCTAGCACAAGCATTGGGAAAGACAAACCCGGTGGGAATACAACCCCCCGAAAACACAGTGAGGAATTTAGAAGTATTTTGTTCTGAATGGACAGTTATGTGAAAAAAAAAGAAAGTACAGCTTCTTTGAAAGGAGTTCCACTTAAGTTTAATAGAAATGGTTGTGTCGTGTTCTGAATGGACAGTTATGTGAAAAAAAGAAAGTACAGCCTCTTTGAATTCCATGGTTTTATCTATAAGGACATAATAAAAAGCACCTGGTCCTCAGCAGGTCTGAAAATGAGGTGCCGTATTTTTCCGTGTATAAGACTATACTTTTGTCTAAAATCTTTAGACTAAAAATTGAGATTCGTCTTGCATCTCCATCTGTTGGCATTGCTGTTAAGGGCCAGTGGTTCCCGTCGTGTGTGTATTCCAAGAGCAGCTAATTTCTGACTTCTTCCAAATCAATTCCCTAGGTATATAAATCAACCCTGAGTTAAGTAATACATGAACAACTTAATCAGTGAAGCGGAACTCCCCTTAGAAAGGTAGAAATGGTTGTGTCAGCCTCTTTTGTGGGGAGGGGGTTCTGGCTGTGAATATGTTGAGATTCTTTGAAAAAAAGGGTTGAGATGTGTTTTCCCTTGGGCTCAAAATGGGGCCGGGTCATCCAAAAGCATACGGCCCTCCTCCTTGTGCAAGAACTTCTAACGCCAGGTAGCCTTTCCCTGTGACATTGGTCACAGCTCTTCTGATGAGCCTCTCCCCTTTCCCCCCCTGCTCTAGCTTTTCCGACGTGTGGCCGCTGCCTTGCCTGGAATGGAAAGCACACAGGACAAGAGCAGAGAAGACAGTATCCTTTGACACAGAATTTCCTTGAAATCTTGGGGAACCATCAGGTCAAAACCACCCCGTGTTCTAAACTGTGAAGGTGAGGTGGAGTGAACTGTGGAGAGCTCAGACGGCTCACACAAAAGGGTGACCCACCTAAAAAAGAGGTAGATGAGTGAACCGTGGAGAGCCAAGACGGCTCAGACAAAAGGGTGACCCACCCAAAAAAAGAGGTAGGTTTCTTCAAGGGGACTCCACTGATTGAACATTTACACGACAGCTGCAAGGTCAGCTTATGCAGAAGCGCATGAACGAGCTGAAACAGCAAATAAAATGTCCAGAGGGCAAGAAAATCAGGGTTTGGGAAATGGCTTTTAAAAGGCACTTGTTGCATTCTTTGCTACTTTTAAAACAGGCAGAAGGGTGGCAGTAACACCAGCACCAATCTGGAAAACTAGTTCATGACATTGGCCTCTTTTGTCCTTTCCAGAGTTTGGGGGAAAACACAGGAAAAGGGCCCGGGTTTTCCAGCTTGTAAGAAAGGTTGAATTGCAGATTCCATTAAGTTTAGAAACGGAACTATCTTTAGAAATATCTTCAGAAGTATCTTACCCCTTGGATGTCCTTGTGGGCCCATGAATTGGAATTGAATGTTGATTTTGATTTGCCGCCCAGGTTTCCTTCTTTTTTGGGGGTGGGGGCATCCTCCGTTTTAATGTGTATTGGCGCTCTTTACTTATGCCCTTGTCGGAGGGATTGGGTAGTTGTGTTTCAGCTGTTGTTAGCCACCCAGAGTAGTGCGTAGACACTTAGATGGGTGGGAAATAGACAGGCAGATTCCACATTGTAAGGTCCTGGCCTTTGGGGGGTTATGCTCTTTTAGTGAAACATCGAAGCTCTTGGTTTGCCTGCTTTCGTTTCCCTTAACTTCTTTCTCCTCCCAGTGATTGACATCAAACTTGAAAAGCCTCAAGAGCAGCCCGTCAGTGAAGGGGGCTGTTCATGCTAATAGTGTGTGGCCCTTCTCTTACCTTTCTCCAGACCATCACTGCTTCTTCCCTCCCTCCCTCCTCCCTCCCTCCCCACTTCTCTCCCTCCCTCGACTCCTCCATGGCAGTGTGTCTGTCGGCTTGCCCTCTCCCCACTCCTGTCTGTAACGTAGCACGGTTCATCATGGCTGCCTGTCTCGTGGAGATGACCCCTGTCGTTCGCTTCACAAGCACAAGAGAAAGTCAGTGTCGTCGTTAGTTATAAGGAAATTTTAAGAACAGCCAACATGATTTTAGCATATTCCAGTAATTCTTTTAAATAACAACCAGAAAGACCAATTTGCTAAATCTTTGTTCCTTCTTTATATATATATATATATTGCATCTCCAGAAGTCACAGAAACAGGGGTAAAAATGTTGTTGGGATAATGATGAAAAGGGATGTGCAGGGTAAAAACAGCCAGTGCCCAAGGCAAGTGGTTTGGAGCAGTGCTAAGGCTGAAGCCTCTCCTTCTGCACAACCAAGAAAAGAAAAAAAAGAAAAAAGACTGCCTTGCCTTTTTTTTTTAGCTGACATCTTCTGACTGTTTTCCCCCCCTAAACAATAGCCTTACGGAAATGCAGAGCTAGCATTTTAACTTTTAAAATTCTCATTATTGTATGGGATGGACAAGCCGTCTTCAGGCACCTGCTAACGAGATGGGTTTTAGAGGGCTATGTGACAGATACTGTAGTATGTACATTCTACTATTCTGCCTTGTTCTATATATAAAAGTAGCCCCAGAGAACAGATTCCTCTTTGGGCTCTTGCATTAGGGCAGAATGTTGTCAGCATTGGAACACAAGGGAAGAAGGCGCAGAGGCTTTAAACAGTTTCTGGCACTAAAGGTAATTTGATGGACTTGAATCGGCCTCTGAAAAGAGGTGGACAAGCAACCAGACTTCAGCATAAAGTTTATGCGCAATGCAGAGGAAGTAGGGATGGAACAGAAGTAACTATTCCTGAGTTCAAGCGCAGTGGAAGGGGGAGAGTTTACTTATAAAAGTAGATTATAAAAATCCCTTAGGTGATGATGGAGACAAAACTTATAATTATGCAGATGTTTGCCTTTGTTTTCAGCATTTTTTAAAAAACAATGGGTCTTTAAAGTCTAGTATATTCATTCTGTGTAGTTTGGTTAAATAACTGGTTGTTTAGTATTATGTTTAACTGAACTACAATTAACCGTGGTTTCCTTCAATATTTATTTCTCTGCTTTAATTTTTTTACTATGTTTTTTTAGAAGTTTATTGATTCTTTTAGAGCTTTGGTGATGTCACAGAATGTAGCTATCCAGGAAACACACCGAGACGTTGAACATGAACTCACACATGCATTGACATTCGCACCTACACTCTCTAGAAGCGCACTCTCTTAAAACTGTACTAGTCCTTGTGAAGTTGCTGTGTAAGTTAACACAACTGTAAATACATTGTTTGCAGGAAGAGTATTTGCAGCTGGGGAGGGGCACAGTACAGGAAAGGCTTCATGAGTCTCCATTTTCTAAAAGATGGTTTGAAAAA